AATGCGGTGACTGGCTTGTGTTTGTATGTACGTACGTTGAACTTGCTTTGCACCGTAATGTGGCCAGCCGTGCTCATCGGAGGTGCGGAGCTGAAAGGACAACAAACTAAACACAATGCAGTTATTGGAGGCAGCATTTTACAACGTCGATAAAGCCGCAGCGTCTCCGTGCTCGGATGAGTGCTGTTCGCAACTTTTACCGGTGGCTTCGGTTAGGTCACGCTATCCCCAAGCAAAAATCTATTATTGTCATTCTTCTCTCGTCTGGCTTGTGTCGGGAAACCATTATGGATTCGGTTGTGAGTGATTCATCCATTCAATTGCTTTATCTAAGAGAGGGCGATTTGCAGATGCACCTACCACCTTAAGTGTTCATATTTCGGGCAGTGCGAAGTTGCACGGTCCGTGTGTGGACCGTATAACTGTGTTGCTGGCCCCCGAGTTGGTGATTCAAGGCCTTAAAGTGCACCTAGCCTGGCATAAGCGCCGTGATGACGTCCCCCGCCACTGAGTGGCAAATGGCAGTTGTTGTTGTTGAGTTGACGATTCCACATTCCTGCGATTGGGGGAGGGGGCCTGCCTCTGTCTGCAAGACGACACCCCACAAAATGGCACTCACAAGATGAAAATGTTTCCTCAAACCCAGCGGTGTGTAATTTGCCATCTCGACGCATGAGTAATTAGCGGCCAACATGTACGTACTGTATCATTGCCCAGAGAATCCATTCAAGACGGCATCACAGATTTGAATGAATGAGGTGTCATTTGAAAGTTTGAGTAGATTGTTTCCAGGTGTAAACAAATAATTTGGCTAAATTGTTTAGCTTTTTGGAGTTGCTTATTCAAGCGATCGCTTAGAACACCATGGTGCATGAGACACTTCTGTTTTAAAATAATCCAACTGATAGGCATGAATGACTGTTGATTGTCACGTGAGTGGTAAATGTCTGACAAGGGCCAGTTGAGTGTCACGTGAATGTCACATCACCCTGTCTATAGGACAGGCTGCACCTCCAGGATTCAAATATGACTTTAGTGGAAAAATATTCTGACTATCCTTTGTTGATGTTGTCAAGGAGGTCCACTGCCCACTGGAGAAATCCAATTAGCTAGCTATGAAGCTCTTTTTCACAGATGTGTAATAAATCCGTTATATTCCAGTATTTCATGTTAGTTTTATATGACTGGCAAAACACGTCATTAAAGACATGGCCTGACATTGCAATGCTTGACCCTCCGGAAAATGGGCCTTTCGCATTCATGAAGCCTTTATTGGCACGGATATATTTTTATTGCGAAGAATACGAAATAGAACACTTGACTCGATTATATTCTCACGAGTGCGGTTGCGGACAAAATGCATCGTTACAATGCTTGCAATGTGGTGAAAGCATCGCTTTTTTCGAACGGCGAACGCGAATGTTTAACCTTCATTTACATTTGCCGGTAATTAAAACGCCTTCGGGCCATTTGAGTAAGAACTGCATGGGGGGGTTCCGCATTTGAATACCCTAATTGGGTTCAAGGCGTTGAGTTCACATCTTGCGCGGTGCCGTTGTACATTTCGTAAATTATTTACTGTCAAAGACAAAAATGAAATCCACAGACAGGTACAGTGTCCGTGTAATAAAGGGGGCCCCGGTGAGAATAACTAAGCCAGCATAAGCAGACGAGAGATGATTGAAAAATGTAATCATTTGTAGCGGCTTTACATATGCTCGGAGTGAAAAAAAATATTTTTATATTCGTAGTCTTCTTGGAGGCAGCTGCTTATGGGAACGGTTCACAACCAAAGGCGCAACTATAAGTGTTCACTTGTCTTCTGTACAGAGGAGATGGTGATGATACGGCCGTGATGTTGTGGAGGTTTATGTGTTGCAATAGCAACAAAAATCTCACGGTGAAATTGTAACCTATTCTGAAACAAGGTCAGAAATAAAGAATGCATACGTGACCTCTGTCATTCATCACAGGGAATTTTACAGTACACATGCGGCATCCTCTCATCAATTTTGGAGGCCGTTTCCTCTTTGTATTTGTCATATTTACCACCGGGGTTTTTTCCCGTCCGGTTTTCGCAGCCTCGTGGACCATTGCCCAGCGGCTCTTTCGTTGCCAGCGCCTGACGTCATTGGCCGGGTTGCCAACGTCTCCTGGTGCCGAGTGGGAAATGGGACGGATGAGCCCCTCGCGCTTTCAGTCGGCCTGTCACGCTTGCTTCTACGTATGTACGTTGCAATTATTTCGCGCCGTACGTAGCCAAAACATCCACAGGCCCTTTTTTGGTGAATTCACCGCTGGATGGGGACCTCGCCACACTTTGTGGCTCATGGGGGGTTATGTGACCATATTTCACCACACTGGCCTGTGTGTGTTGCTGTCGACTGACGAGCGGAAGGAAGGACCTGTACAGATGCCATTGACGTCAGCCTTGCCTTGGGTATTTTGACTCGGGTCTCCAGGTTCGTAGAGCAGTGCGCTAATCACTCGAGCCCACCGCTCGATCCGGTGAGAACACTGAAAGCAAATTGTGGACTGGGTCTGGAAAAGGTCGGCTGGGCATATTCGTAGTGTGACACCCCGCCTCTATCAGTAACAAGGATAAGGCAGATTTAACATCTGTGCCCTGTCGCCGTATGTCCAGATGTCCTGCAGATCGTCGCTTAGAGAAGGGAAGAAATCCACGGGAGCTGTGAAGGCAGCATTGTGAAGCTGCTCGACAGACTCTCGTGTGGCGTCTTTATCTTTATTCTATTTTTCATCCCCCATTTAGAGTGGTGGTTCTCAACCTTTTTGGTATCATGACCCCCCCCCCCTCCCCCCAATCAATACCGCTGGTCCCCGTGCTCCCCCCCCCCCTTGCCAGGTCACAAGGCCACAGTGCACGGAGAGGTCACATGGCGGTGCCTCGAGTCAACGCGATGTCGGCGAGACGCTTGTTTTACGTTGCGTGTTTTGTGTCGGCGAGGCATGCGTTTCACGTTGCGTGTCAATGGGATTCGCCGCTGTTACGTGGCGCTTCATTGCGCGCACGCGCACATTTCTCCTGCGTGATATCCACGCCGCAGCCTGCATGCATGTGTGTATGAATGTAGTAAGTATGTTGAAGTTCTTTCACACCGTATGTAGCCAACCGTGCTAATCGGAGGCTTTCACGCCCACCCCCGACCGCTGGTTGAAGCGTCCCAATCAGCTTGCGGTCTGAGCGGTCACCCAATGGAGCAAGCGTAATGGACGAATCGGCGAGCCAGTGCGCTTTACGCACAGCATCGGTTCTGTATCGCGAATCGGTGATACACGACCTTCCGTGCCTTGCACACTGGAAGGAAGGGATGATGGTGCCAGTCGCGAATGTACGTACGTATTATGTTAAACTTCCTTCGCACCGTATGTAGCCAACCGTGCTAATCGGAGGTGCAGGGGATGGACAACAAACGAATCTGGTTAGGTGCAGAGCAGAGGAGCCCTGTGTGTCTCTGTCTGGTGGTGCTCATCTCGATCGGCATCACTGAACTCCGGTCATCCTCGCAGCAGCAGCAGCAGGGTCGACTTGTGGCTGACCATCAAACAAAGACGGTTGCCGCATCGCGCGCCTTCAGAAGCGCTTCTGCGGCCGTCTGGAACGCTCTTCCTTCCAATATTAGGAAGCGACTGGAGCTATGCACTTTTAAATCTGCATTGAAAACTAATTTATTTTGCACTGATTTTTTACAGTGGCCGGAATGTCTCATAGGACATGCTGCTATTGACTTCCTACAAAAGTAAAAATGTAAAAGTCCTGCTCAACTGAGCACTCTTCTCCTGTATACAAACCTGAGCCAGCGGTGGAAATTCCACATTCCCATGGCAGGGGCCACACTGCCCATAGGGCACCACTACTATATGGCACTCATTTATAAACTCAACAATCATGGTTATCATAACATTCAAAGCTAAAAGTACAGCCCTGCAATTGCTCACTCATGCCGCTGCCACCGCTGCTACTGCCAGAAAGGTCTCCACTCGAGGAAGTGCTGGAGAGAAGCTCTATGAAGGTTCACCCATCCACGCTAGCCAAGCGTTTTGTAAGAGGTGCGAGTACCCACGCTTTACCCCACCACACGCAACCTACCAATGGACTAACCGCGGTGTACCCATTGAAACTGCTGGGTGGACAGATACAGGGTTGCGGGTGGGCGGGGGGGGGTTGAGTGAAGTTTACAAAACTTGCAGCTTCGGTGCAGCTGCCGCGCCGGGAGATCGCATCAACCCGGCGGCATCTGGATTGCAATTATATTGCGGTAACCATAACGCGACGGTGTCGCTGACGGCGTTAACTTACGGCGCGCGTTTGGCTCCGTGCCTGCAGCAAGCTATCGTCGCGCCTTCAGGGCCCAACGAGGCTTGGAAGGTGAGATTAGGGGCCTGCCGGCCGCCGACGGCTCCGCTTCACTCGCTGAGCAATGGGCGCTTGCGTCGCCAATGGATAGAAAAATACGCACCTTCATTTGCCTGATGATTGTCCCTCCGGCTACCTCGGCTCAACGTTGAACACACGGCTGCCCCATTCAACAGTTGTTGTTGTTGTTGCTGTTCTCGCGGGCAGTACATAGCCGCTGTCGTTCCCGCTGTCGCACGCCTCTCTGTGTGTGTGCGTGCGCGTGTGTGGGGAGCGGTCGTGTAGCGTTTAGCGTGCAGCGCTACAAACCCCGGCGACCCGGGTTCGAATCCCGCTCACGGTCAACAGCACCAGTGACGATTATGTGAGCCGGTTCTGGGACTCTGCTAGGTCGACTCAGCATAAAATGAGCACCTGGCGCGGTGTGTAAATGTCGCCACTAGGGAGACAAAGGCGGCCAGGCGTAGTGCTGGCCACCCACCCCCTTCGTGTGCTATGCCGGCCTTCACAGGTGCTGCTCCCGCGCAGCACTTGCCCCAACAGTCTGTTACAGGCTACACGGCGGATCTTTGTTTTTTGTCTTGATGATGATTGCCACTATCGTCTGCTTTTCCATTCACAGTTCCTGTGCCTGAAGAACATCCGCACGTTCATCAACTGCTGCCACGAGCAGTACGGCATCCGCAAGAACGACCTCTTCGATGCCTTCGACCTGTTCGACGTGCGGGACTTCGGGAAGGTGAGCCCCGCGGTTCTCTACTGCTACTAACGCTAAACTATTTTATTTATTTTACCAGGTAAGGGCCCACTGAGCTACATAGCTCTTTTTTTTGTTTTTAAGCGACCTGGCCATCACAAATGATAGCCCAACGAAGTGGCCTGTCATGAATGCATTTACAGCAGCCAAATAAGTTAAACGCATGTTAATTCTCAATGTGGAGCGAAAAACCCCGAGGGCCTGGGAGATAAATTCGTGTGACCACGGGGGAGAACATGCAAACTCCAAATTTACAGGCTTCGTCAGAGTCGGGATTGAACCCACGGCCTCCTGTATACAAGGGGCGAGGTAGTTAACATCTCTGTATACAAGGGGCGAGGTAGTTAACATCTCTGTATACAAGGGGCGAGGTAGTTAACGTCTCTGTATACAAGGGGCGAGGTAGTTAACATCTCTGTATACAAGGGGCGAGGTAGTTAACGTCTCTGTATACAAGGGGCGAGGTAGTTAACGTCTCTGTATACAAGGGGCGAGGTAGTTAACGTCTCTGTATACAAGGGGCGAGGTAGTTAACGTCTCTGTATACAAGGGGCGAGGTAGTTAACATCTCTGTATACAAGGGGCGAGGTAGTTAACATCTCTGTATACAAGGGGTGAGGTAGTTAACGTCTCTGTATACAAGGGGCGAGGTAGTTAACATCTCTGTATACAAGGGGCGAGGTAGTTAACATCTCTGTATACAAGGGGCGAGGTAGTTAACATCTCTGTATACAAGGGGCGAGGTAGTTAACATCTCTGTATACAAGGGGCGAGGTAGTCAACATCTCTGTATACAAGGGGCGAGGTAGTTAATATCTCTGTATACAAGGGGCGAGGTAGTTAACATCTCTGTATACAAGGGGCGAGGTAGTTAACATCTCTGTATACAAGGGGCGAGGTAGTTAACGTCTCTGTATACAAGGGGCGAGATAGTTAACATCTCTGTATACAAGGGGCGAGGTAGTTAACATCTCTGTATACAAGGGGCGAGGTAGTTAACATCTCTGTATACAAGGGGCGAGGTAGTTAACGTCTCTGTATACAAGGGGCGAGGTAGTTAACGTCTCTGTATACAAGGGGCTTGGTAGTTAACATCTCTGTACACAAGGGGCGAGGTAGTCAACATCTCTGTATACAAGGGGCGAGGTAGTTAACATCTCTGTATACAAGGGGCGAGGTAGTTAACATCTCTGTATACAAGGGGCGAGGTAGTTAACGTCTCTGTATACAAGGGGCGAGGTAGTTAACATCTCTGTATACAAGGGGCGAGGTAGTTAACATCTCTGTATACAAGGGGCGAGGTAGTTAACATCTCTGTATACAAGGGGCGAGGTAGTTAACATCTCTGTATACAAGGGGCGAGGTAGTTAACATCTCTGTATACAAGGGGCGAGGTAGTTAACATCTGTGTATACAAGGGGCGAGGTAGTTAACGTCTCTGTATACAAGGGGCGAGGTAGTTAACATCTCTGTATACAAGGGGCGAGGTAGTTAACGTCTCTGTATACTAGTGGCGAGGTAGTTAACATCTCTGTATACAAGGGGCGAGGTAGTTAACATCTCTGTATACAAGGGGCGAGGTAGTTAACATCTCTGTATACAAGGGGCGAGGTAGTTAACAGCTCGCCGCGGTGGCTTCAGTTTTGTTAAATCACGGTCGGACTGGGCGCAGGCCCAACGGAACAAAACGCCAAGCGGCCAGCCATCGGCAGCACCATCTAACGGCGTAACAAGAGGAGAGTTAATGCGCTCGTCGTGGGCGGGCGGCGAGGACTCGTGAAAGTCCCATTAGCCGCGAACGGAAAAGGGGAAAGGCGGAAGGCGGGAAGGGGACTGTGAGCAGGAAAGCTCTCTAAGACGTTGCACCGCTGCCGAGTCAGCAGTCCACGTACACTTAGCAAACAGATCATTATAGGCGAATCGATCATTTCACTGTACGTGCGCATTTTCTGACACATCAGCATGCATTTTCAATAATTCATTTTTTCTGTGTGGATTTAAAACAATGATGTTTGGAGTGGCTTTTTTCTGTGTGTGTGGGGAACGGTGGTGGTTGGTTTCTGTGTGTGTGGGGAACGGTAGTGGTTGGTTTCTGTGTGTGTGGGGAACGGTGGTGGTTGGTTTACGTGTGTGTGGGGAACAGTGGTGGTTGGTTTCTGTGTGAGTGGGGAACGGTGGTGGTTGGTTTACGTGTGTGTGGGGAACGGTAGTGGTTGGTTTACGTGTGTGTGGGGAACGGTGGTGGTTGGTTTCTGTGTGTGTGGGGAGCGGTAGTGGTTGGTTTCTGTGTGTGTGGGGAGCGGTAGTGGTTGGTTTACGTGTGTGTGTGGGGAACGGTGGTGGTTGGTTTACGTGTGTGTGTGGGGAACGGTAGTGGTTGGTTTCTGTGTGTGTGGGGAACGGTAGTGGTTGGTTTCTGTGTGTGTGGGGAACGGTAGTGGTTGGTTTCTGTGTGTGCACCGTACGCAGCCAACCGTGCTATCGAAGAGTTAATTTCTGACCGCACTTGCTCCAACAAGCTTACAAGGCTGAAGCGGTGAACAGCACTACCCTTGGTGTTTCATCTCTACAAGTTTGCTTGATGCTAAATTTCGGCCGTCTGGACATTTCCACGATTCCTCACACCCGTGCATACGTACGTATCGAACAGGAAACAGAAAGCGATTAAATGCACCGCTGATAGCCAATTTACGTAACGAGGAAGGGGGGCTCGTTCACCCGACTCTCCTGCATGGCTCGTTTTACGCGCACTTTTCATCCGCACCACTTCGGGGGATCGCTCAACATTATCGACATTTGTCACGGACGTACGAAAAAAATCACTCAAATGTTTGTGAAACGATTTCTCCATTTGCTGTGCGAGGAGAGAGGGGGGCACGGGGCGGGGTACAGAGATGGAATCAAAAGAGATTATCTGCTGTATATTTTTTGTTGTAAACATTCGTCGCAGTTTAACGATTCCTAACGGTCAAGCCTGCTGAGGTTGCAACTTTGCGAGTCACACAGGCAATCAAATACTAATGCCGTTAACCGCACGGGATGTTATAAACCATCCGGGCTGTTGGCAGAAAATAGATAACGGTACATATCCTGTTACAGTGCATTTTGAGTGGCTGAGGTAGCCCGTTTGATTCGGAATACTCCATTATGAGTTGCGTCGACGTTTCCCCACGCAAACCTTGCGGCCGCGTCTCCGTGGTGGCCGTGTGTTTTGTCTCCGCGTCGTTTGGCGCAAGGCCGAGTAGAGTACTCGTGACCTCGGCGATGAAGTGACTGCGTGGTGCCGGTAATCGGTCGCTGGTCAGGTGACTCAGTGGCAGAGCTGAGCAGCTCGTGGTCGGAAGGTTGCGAGTTCAAATGCTTGGTTGGGAGGGGTTGGCTCATCCATTGTCCGTCTCGGGACGATAAAATGACGGCCGCTTTTTGGGGAAATCAACAGTGGTTGTTCAGTGCGGTGACCTGGTCACCCCCGTCATAGGAATGTGGAATTTCCGGCACTGATCCAAGGCTATAAGCAGGACATTAGCAGCCCGTCAATGCTCACTTGAGATGGAAATCACTTTGACTTTACTTTTTACCATTGTTATACCGTTATCCCAGTTACATATGCGGCGACAGAAGCTCATTTCATGCTAATCTCTCTCTCCCTAATCTCCCGCATTAACACAACTGACGTGCTTGCGTGCAGGGATGGAATTCCTTTCCAGCTCAGACCCCGTCTGCTTGCCATTCACCACATCTATAACCTCTTGTTGTAACAGCTCTCTCGCTGTGTTATTCCTGGTTCAGCAGTTCCACTGCTGGTTTATTTTTCCCCCTGAGGACGACCGCTTGTGTTGCGATCGAAACGTCGCGATATGTTATTTTTGATTTTATTTTATTTTTCTAGCTACGTGACTTTACTGAAAGAATCAAAGAGTATTTACAAGAGAGTTTGTCCACCATGATCTCTGCCCACCTCTGATCCTCTATCGCTACAGTTTCTCCAGGTTTATCCCATCACGTCTGTAGCTAAGTGTCTAAATATTATGGTGTATGGGCTGGCTTTGTCACCAAACTCCTGTAGAACACTATCCTTGGTTCTTCACCCTGTCTGCGGGATACACAATCATCCCACTCCAGTACCGTAAGTTCAAAGTTGTGGTGACCTTTCTCTTATCTGCTGCATTCGCCACATGCCTCTTGCACGCATGCATTACAAATGTTTTAACTTGTTTGTTTTTGGTGACTCTCCGAGTACTTCTCGGGTTCTGATGTCCGTCTAACGCTTATCGATTAGATCTCCCGATGAAATAATGGTGCAGGTTTCTTGAATTTTTGTCCACCCATCGGCAAAAATAGGCACACCACAGTGAGTCCATCGACAGGTTGCATGTGGTGGGGTAAATTTGTGGGTACTCCCACTTCCAAGACATCTAACCAGTATGGAAGAGTAGGCCAAATATCTTTTAGAGGGACTCTCTTTGGGTGGCCTAAAGTGGAGTCCCTACTGGCAGCGGTGACATGAGTAAGCAATTGCAGAGCTGCACATTGAAAAAACATATTCAAGAATCCAGAAAACAAACATTACAGGGGCAGATACAACTTATGAACATGTGTCGAACCGGGAGTTGCAGGGCTGCAACCTTTACAATTTCTCGTTTACCTCTGTGTTCATCATAGCATTTTTAGCACGGTTATACGTTGCTTTTTTGCCATTGGAATGGCAAAATACATCAATGATTGCAGTGTGAGCCTCACCTATACGCATAAAATCAGAGCGTTTTACATTCCGTGCAACTAGAATCTGTATTGTATATAAACGAGATATTGGGTCACAAACGACTCCTTGAATTACTTTGGCCGTAACGCAGTTATTAGTGCTTGTCAGAGGTTGCAGCCAGCGTAGTAATGAATAGTCATAATATGCCCTCTGAAAATGCATAGTTTGAATGAATTGCTGCACGTGGCCATGTAAATACCATACAGGAAGTGATTACAAT